ATATTGATCTGAAAAGATCACATGAGGCCTTAGCTATGTCAATCAAGGCTTCGGCTACATCTTCTATCACCACCAGAGCTATCATTGTATGGGCCAGAAAGCTCATCCAGCTTCTCCCAGGGGACAATAGACCCCTTCTAAGAAATAAGGGGCCACACGAATGTTGCAAAGGAGGAAACATCCTCCTTTGCAACAGATGCTTCCCTGGAGGCTCTTACTTTTTGTTCTAGGGCTATGTCCCCAGCTGTGGTGGCATGTAGAGGGATCTGGCTGCGTGCCTGGCCCGCGGATCTCCAGTCTAAGTAGTTTGTGATGGCTTATCCATTCCAAGGAGAGAAGATATTCGGGAACCACTTAGTTAAGATCCTGGTGGAGACTAAAGACAAAAAGAAGGCTATGCCAAGAAACTTACGCCACCTAGACAGAAGGGTGCACATGGTCATACCTTTCGTTCCTCTAATCCATCATTGAAGCCCAAGCAAGGCCAGAAAAGAGGCTCCTCAGGGTCCTCGTCGCAGTCCTACAAGAGAAGCTTCTCAGGACCAAGGTTTGGGAGACGGGCAGACAACAGATCTGAGAAACAGGAACGTGATGGCAAAATCACCAAAGCATGACTCAGATCAGATCCCAGTTGGAGGGAAGATTAATTTACTTTCTGGAGGCATGGCTAGAGTCCTGAGAAGACTTCTGGACATTAGAAATAGTCTCCAAAGGCTACTCATTAGAATTTCTTTGGCCTCCTTCAGAAAGATTAGCAAAATGGTCCATGATGTTCACTGCCTTATGTCATCTCCTGGACATTCGGGCGGTGGAGAAGGTTTCTGTAGACCAACAGGGCCAGGGAGTCTACTCCATATTTTTTACTGTGCTCAAGAAAAATGGTGACTGGCATGCTATTCTAGACCTGAAGTACGTCAACAAATACATCAAGCTGAGGCACTTTCATATGGAGACTCTCAAGTCCATTACAGAGGTCCTACAACCGATGGAATACCTAGCCTCCTTGGATCTGACGGAAGTGTACCTCCACGTTCCGATTCTACCCCTACACAGGAGGTTCCTGAGGTTCTGCATAGGGAACCTCCACATGCAGTTCAAGGGAATCTCCACATGCAGTTCAGAGCAATGCTTTTTGGGCTTGAGACCGCCCCACAGGTCTTCACCAAGATACTGGTCAATCCAATACAACACCTCAGGAAGAAGGGCATCCTTCTCATCAGGTCTTCCTCCAAACAGAAGGCCGTGCAAGACATACAAGAGACAATTCAGTGTCTTTAGGCACATGGCTTCTTGATCAACCAGGCCAAGAGCTTCTTGGAGCTGACTCAACAATTGGAACACCTTGGGATGCTGATAGATACCAAACTGGCTTCTGTCTTGCTACCAGAGGACAAGATCTCGAAGACAAAATAAGCTGTGAGACTCATCATAGAACGTCCATCTTCGTCTCTGCTGTCCTTGGCCAAGGTGATGGAGCTTCCCATTTCCAATCTAGATGCCATACAGTGGGGCAGACTACACACAAGGGTGCTGCAGCTGTTTCTATGCCCCTACCAGATACATATTATGGAAAAACGGGATGTTCTTCTCCAAGTACCTCTATCCGTCAGACAGTCAGACAGATGGTGGACAAAGGTTTCCAATCTCCACCAGGAGAAGAAGCTCTTCCGCAAGGCAGAAGTGAAACTATTCTCGGATGCCAGTTTGCAGGGCTGGGGAGCAACTCTGAATGAGGTTCCAGCTCAGGGACGCTGGTCCCACTGGGAATCTCTTCTCCCTATCAACGTTTTGGAACTCAGAACGGTGCGTCTGGCCCTATTCCACTTCAGCAACAGAGTAAAGAAGCAACAGGTCCTTGTCCAGACAGACAATGTATTGGCCAAATCCTATCTGAACAACCAGGAGGGCTCCAGATCCTCCGCCCTCCACAGAGAAACGGATTGGCTCAACAATCGACCCAGGAGAGTGGATGCTGAACAAGAAGATTTTCCACTGGATGATACAACACTTCAAGGCCCCAATGGTGGCCTTCTTTGCCTCCCTGCAGAACAACCAACTGCTGAGATTTTTCTTCAGGTTTCACTACGACAAAGTGGAAGCTGCGGAAGCTACGGATGCCATGACGGTTCCTTGACCCAGAGGGACCTTGTATGCCTTCCACCCATTCCCATAATTCCGAAGGTCCCCAGGTCAATAAGACCACAGAAGGCCACAGTGCTGCTAGTGGCACCGTGGTGGCCTCGACGTCCCTGTTTCTCGACCTTGCAACAGGTGCCCGAGACACCAACACTTTGACTACCAATATCCCCAGACATGCTTATCCAGGGACCAGTTTGACACCCGGAACCAGAACGTCTGATGCTGACCATGTGGCACTTGAAGGGTCCTCTTACTTAAGGCAGAGCTACTCGGCAGAGGTGACTAATACGATCCTGGTGTCTAGAAAGGATTCCACGGTCCGAATCTACAACACTACGTGGAAAGCCTTCCATAGGTGGTGCTGGCGGAAGTCTGTTGATGTCAATCGACCTCCCTTATGCTCCGTACTAGAATTTCTGACTGATGGACTTGAAACAGACCTGAAACCAGCAACCCTTAGAAAACAGGTCAGGTCACACCACTGGGCTTGTCAATTCCCCGTTTTCAAGGGTTGTCCCTTGTCTTCACATACACATGTGCGCAGATTCCTAAGGGGAGCCACTTTGCACAGTCCTTCAACAGTACACAGGTTTCCTACCTGGAAGCTACACACTGTGCTTTTGGCTCTAACTAAAGCTCCATTTGAACCTATACAGGGCGTTTCTCTGAAATGGTTACGCATGAAGACGATCTTCCTAGTCGTGGTCACGTTGACCAGACGTATATCTGAGATTGGAGCACTCTTGACGAACCCAGGACTGTGCATCTTCCATAAAGACAAAGTAGTACTGCGTACAGACCCCAACTTTCATTCCAAAGGTGGATTCTAAATTTCATAGAGCTCAAGAGATATACCAGACCCTAAACACCCTAAGGAGCGGT